AAAACCAAAGCATAACATAATTGATACTATTGCTTTGTGTTACTTAATTGTTTAATGATTTTATGATAAAATATGTTTGTTCCATTGTATGCATTGTGATACTGAAATATATCTATTTAAATTTTGATGTAAAAATCGAATTATCTTTACTGTATACTAAGTAACTTTTTTACATAATGAGATAGAGATATTTCGACTGTTATAAAGCTGAGTGATACGAATAAATTTGAAATTGAGCCATTTTAATCTCTTTAACACTTGTTTTGACATGACTGTATTTTTTAAACTTGTCATAATCCATCCTGCAATATTGATATGAAAGCCTCTTTTAAGAAAAGAAAAATAAGTTGATAACTAATGAAGGATAAAATATTTTATCATAAGGAATGTAAATAATCTGAAGTTAATAAAAGCTGTATTTAAGTTTTTTTGTTTTCAATATGAAATCGATAAGAAAGATAGTTAAACTGGAGACAGGTGATAAGAATAACGATTTATATTCAAGTTATGAATAAAATACAATAATAAATGAAAGAAAATACACCTTATACATATTTTTTTGAATCAATGATTGTAATTATACCTACCTATCTACCTACCTACCAACCCATCCAACAACCAACCCTGCATGCTTGCCTATCTACTTATCAACCGAATCACTCTCTCGCCCTTCCTGCCTGTCTGCATATCTGCCTACTTACCTAACTACTGACCTACCCAGTGCCTACCTCCCTGCCTACCTACCTACCTACCTACCTACCCACACACCCGCCCACCCTGCCTGCATGCCTTCCTACCTACATTGCTAGCTTACTACAGACGCATTCACCCACCCAACCTGCCGGCTACCTCCCTGCCGACCACTCTATCTACCTACCTACCTACCCACCCATCCGCCAACCCTGTCTGCCTGCCTCCCTGCCTACCTACCTACCCACCCACCGCCCACTCTGCCTGACTGCCTCCCTGCCTACGTACCTACCCCCCCCCCCAACCGCCCACCCTGCCTGCCTGCCTCCCTGCCTACCTACCTTCTTGCCTGCCTACCTGCCTACCTATCTACCGACCCATTGCCTGCCTCCCTGCCTACCAGCATACCTACCTTCTTAAAAACCACCTGCCCATCCACCCTGCCTGTCCGCCTGCCCGCATGCCTACCTACCTACCTACCTTCCTACAAGGAAAAGATTGAGAATGACGTCTCACTCAAAAACCCTGTTCACTCAAATATAATAACTTGAGGGCCATCAGGCTTAACATCGTTATATTTGGTATCAAGGTTGATTCAGGCTTGTAGATGACTCCTTCTGATTGTAAGATTAGTAGGTTCTATGTCAAGCTCACAATGACCTTCAACTCAATTCCATTGTCAGACTAATTACTTAAGCATATGATTTTACTTGCTGTTCTCGTTACTGCATGTAGATATAGTACTTTGACCCTCCAAATACTGAGATCAGTTGGCTGAATGTCAAGGTGACAATGTACATAAGTTCAAACACTATAAAACAATAAATTTTTTTGAGATCTGGTTAGCACGCTGTCTGTTTGTTTGTTTGTTTGATTGATTGGGTTTTACGTCACACCGACACAGTATAGAACATATAGCGACGTTCCAGCTTTACCGGTGGAGGAAGACCTCAGGTGCCCTTCCGTTCATTATTTCAGGCACGAACGGGCACCTGAGTAGAACCACCGACGTTCCGTGAGCTAGTCGGAGAGCTTCCTCACATGAAAGAATCCAAAGTCCCTGTCGGGATTCGAATCCACAGCGGTGAGGGGCAAATGGTTTGAAGTCAACGACATTAACCCTAACAGCACGCTGTATCATCATATTGTAAAGCTGTTGTCAATGGCTTATCCATATTATACCACGCCGACAGGCAATTTGGATGGAAATTAATATTTTGTTATTGAACGAATTAGTATATCGTAATTATGAATTAATATTACGTTAAAACGAATTGTATTATTTCGTAAAAACGAACCAAGATATCGTTAATAACGAATTAACATTTCGTTTGTACGAAATAATATTTCGAAAAAAAGGAAAACATATTTCGTAATATTTCGTGATAACAAATTGATAGTTCGTAAAAACGAAATATTATTTCGTTAAAGCGAAATAAGATTTCGTAAAACCTAAAAACGTATTAATATTTTGTAATTACGAAGTACATTTTAATATTTCGTAAAAACGAATTAATATTTCGTAACAACGAATTAAGTTCAGGGAAAAAAGTGTGGAAAATGTCACCTACGGGGTTACAAAGATTTTGCCGTTAGATAAAAAAAAAAAACTTGCAATTGTTACTTAAAACTTTAATGATGGCCCTTAAAGGTAAATGGACTGTTGAAACCTACGATATACGTTCATATTGAAGCAGCATGCCTCCAGGTTTATGATAATTTTCATGAAAATTTGAAAATGTATTCAACAATAAAATATTGTGAAGTTAACAAAAGAATGCAATTTACACATTATCAATGACACTTAACAAACTATGAAAATTACCATAAAAAGATTAAAATATGCAAAAAAAAAGCCTTTACTGCGTTAGTAACGCAGTAGAAATATAGCTACAAATACTGAAAAATCGGTCATTAATAGCACATAACTTGTAAATTATTACTATTATTTTGAAGCTTTATACATAACTAAAATCTTAGTACATTTTTCTTAGATTTGATTTTATCGAAATATTTTTGCTCATCTGGAGGCGTGCAGCTTTAAACACTCCTCTTTATGGAAAAAGGAAATAGTTTTATCAACATAATCAGAAACGAATTGAAAATTTCCGCTCATACTACATTTTATGCGGATATATGATTTGATTATAACTGTTATCGCGATTTCATAGATAACACTGAATGCGTACACTCCAACCCGAAAACACTATTGATTATAATTTTATTTAATTGTATTTATAATGATAAACGTTCTAAAAGGGGAAATTGTCCATTCAAATAAGGATGCGACATGTAATATTGTCATTTTATACATTCATCAAAACGTTAAAATTTTAACATTATTTGACAAAATGGCTTTAAATGAATTACTTTCCTACTTGTTTTTAATTCAGTTTTATGTAACGCAAAGTTTTGGTAAGTTCACTTTATTTACTCATATAGACATTTGCTATGTAACAGCATCATCATCATCATCATCATTATCATCATCATCATTATCATCACTAGTCATCATCATAGTTATCATTATCATCATCATTATCATATAAGTGTTGTTTTTGCCATCATCATAATGATCACCAACACGATAATAATTATCATGATAGTAGTCAGTCATCAATATCATCACCACCATAATCATTATTATCATCATCATCACCAAGGTCATCATTATTATCATCATCATCACCATCATTATCAAGTAAATGTTGTTTTCGCCATCATCATAATGATCACCAATCATCATAAAGGGTATCATCATGATAAACACCATCATTGTCATCATCACCATAATCATTACCATCACGAACGTCCTCATTATTATCATAAGCATTATTATCATATAACTGTTGTTGTTGTTGCCAACATCATAATAATTATCATCATAGTCATCATTTTTATCATGCTCAAAACCATAATCATCATTAATAACAATATCATATTTATCATTGTTTAAGTGTTGGCGTGTAGTCTAGCTTAATCATTTTCTAGTTATTTTATCAACTTATCTTAAACCTATAATTATAGTTTTGCCGTTTGAAACCCTTTAAAGCTATTATAGCATATCGTATCTATGGAACTCTAATATATATTTATATATATAATAATAATTATATAATTATAATCATTTTGAAAGTCAGTTTCAATGTTGTATAGTTATTTCATTTTCTTACATAAATTTTGCCGTCGTTTAAAATGGTTTTTAATGTTTCTATTGTATCTATTATTAAAATATTACTGCATATATTGTGAATGAAACATATACATATATTTATATATAAGCCGCGTCACGACAAAACCAACGTTATGCGTTTGCGACCACCATGAATCCAGACCAGCCTGCGCATCCGCACAGTCTGATAAGGATCCATGCTGTTCGCTCACAAACCCTAACAAAGTAGAGAAACTGATAGCGAACAGCATGGATCCTGATCAGACTGCGCGGATGCGCAGGCTGGTCTGGATCCATACTGGTCGCAAACGCATTACGTTGGTTTTGTCGTGACGTGGCTCATATATATTTATAATTATATTGAAGGCGAGTATGATATATCGAAGCAGACGACAAATTAGTCTTCTGCATTAAAACAATGTCATATAGCAACGCCCGAAATATTCACTTGTCACCGTAAACAATAATGTCTAACTGTAAATGATGAACCAAATGATATAATACTAAACGTGATAACTGATGGACTATGGGTATGATTTTACTCGATTGAGATGTCACTCATTCATGTTGGTAAGGCAATATATTATTATCATATTACTATAACTTTATTAAATAAGTTTTTTAATGTTTATATGACTCTTATTGCTATAAATATGTAAACATGAATGTCTGGCGTAGCCCCCCCCCCCCCCCCCCCCCCGAGTATAAATCAGATTGCCTATGTTTCTTCAGTTGGTATAGATATTGTGTAGGCCATATGTGTTGCGATATGCATTTGATATATGGATTCTTTGGATACAAAAAATGAAGACGGGGGTGAATATTTAGAATTAGATCAAATACTAAATAAGGAATTTTGTACATGACGTGATTCAAACACTGAAAGTGCATTGGTTATATTTTATATTTTAATTGGTTTTAAATAAATGTAAATACAATAAACATTCCCATAGAAATTGAAATTGTTTTATGTATAAGTGTTTATCCATCTGACAGATTGCGTTGCTATTCCTTCAAGGAACGGGTACCAGAAAGAAAACTATAAAGATGATGCTAGCAAATGCTTCAGAAAATGTTTGACTTCAAAATATATAGGAATATCCAGAAAATATGTATGTGTTGCTTCTAACGAATTTTCTATTTTAATTAATTACTTGAATATAATATATAAATTTATCTTTCTTTTAAGTTTTCTTATCTATTTGTAATTTATTTTACGTACGTTTTCTATAATTCATTTCTTTTGTTATCGAAATTGATACATCCTTAAATAAACCAACGTGCGCCATTGCACCTGAATCCAGGAAGTTACGTCATGCGCAAGATGTCATGGCAACGTATGTACCGCCGATATAAAACAAGCAAAAACATCAAAAACGGAAATCGTCATGCATTAAAGATGTCTCTTGCTGTCGTCTCTTTAAATGTTCCAAAAATGAAACAAAGATGTCGGGAAAAGTCGCGTGACGCGCCCTTTATCAGAAAGACGTGTTTGCGGTAGAATAAAACCTTTCACTTTTGTCGAATTCACATGAAAATATGTTTAAATACGAAAATAGTCTTGACCTCAACACCAGACAAGCCATTTTATGTTAAGCACAAGTTTCAACTTTGTGACTGTAATAAATAAAAGTTCGCCGCGCGCCCCCGCTAATTAGCGTGTTTTCGCTCCGCGCCACGCCATTTTATCTTGTTAATTATCGACTTGGCGGGGTCGCTGGACAAAAACACGATAATTAGCGGGGTCGCGCGGCGTACTTTTATTTACTAAACTTCGCACCGCGCCCTCGCTAATAAGTGTGTTTTCGTCCTGCGACCCCGCCATTTTATTTCTTAAATCTCGCTCCGCGCCCCTGCGGGACGAAGTTTTATTTAATAAACTTCGCCCCGCGCCCCCGCTAATAAGCGTGTTTTCGCTCCGCGCCCCCTCCATTTTAACTTGTTAATTTTCGACTTTTCGCTTGAGGGTCGCGGGCGAAAACACGAATGGCACAAATCAGCCACCATACTTTACACATTTTCAATTTTCTTTTATTGTGACATAGATTTTCAGTAGATAATATTGTTTGATATTTCAGTGCGTTTGTTTTGAAGAGCCTTACGGTAATTCTATGACGGATGCGTCAAATTGCGACAAACATTGCAGTCATCCGAAACGTCTGAGGTGTGGAGGGAAGGATTATTTAAGTGTTTACAAGTCTGAAAACAATATCAACAAAAAACGGTACTCATCTCATGTATCTTCTATCTTACGAGATTTAAACATGAATCGTCTTAAATAGAATACCATACAAGGCGGGTGTATTTCTCACGAGCACGAAATTCAAGATCAAAATATTAGTACATATACACTGAGCCTTGCATGCTTAGTTATTAAGTCAACGGAACATAAAGAAAACTAAACTTTGTAAGGTACTTCTGTCAGCTTCTAGCATTTTAATGTAAAATGGATTTTCGTTTCTGTCTGGTCATAATTGCTTTTTAAGAAATATATGAAGATAAGAAATTGTGGCAAAGTATATACAAGAGTTGTGATAAGTCAAGCAACTTGCTGACATGAAAGTTTTTAAAAAACGTTTAATTGATTGATTCTTTTCAAAATAATAGAAAGTATAAGTATACAATAACGTTTACATTATTCGGTCATACCATTATGATATAATGAATTGTGCAGGTTATTCAGTTATTATATTTTGCATTCTTATTAAGATATAGAAGAGTTAAACTGTGTATGCACGTTATATACTTATATACTTGACTATTCTCAAATTTTAGATTTTGTATATTTACACAATTTACAGATGTATATAAAATGGAAAATTACACGCCTGTTATAGTCTAGTGAGCTATATCACTTTAATTTATCGCAGGCTCCTGAGAATTCAATTTTACACAACCAATTCGAGCGATACAACCCATCAGAAAAGCAAACTATATAATTATAGCACATCATTATGAATTCGAATTGCACGTGAATTCATTTTATCATATATTTATTTGTCGAAATTCAAAACCATTTGTTTTCTTTCGTGGCTTATTATTACCTATGAAAGAGAACGAATCAGCAAACGAGAGAAAGGAGAATGACGATTCAACAAACGACAGTCGTGAGGGTTCAGCAGACGACAATCTTAAAGGCACAGCAGACGACAACATTGATAGTACAGCAAACGATTGGACAAGGGATCCAGATGAAAAACTACATGTTGATATCATCTTCAAGTACGATGAAACGGGTACTGCTTTGATTTTTTTAGTATTTTGCTCGTCCTTGAGTGTATTTTTGTTCAAGCGTATAAAATGACTGTTCAAATAGAATTTTAAAGATCAGATATGGACTAAACATAGGAATATTGATATTAAGTCGGCAATATGATTGATCTGTTTTCCATTTAACAACAACAACACCAACAAAGAATAACCTATCTAAAAAAGTAACTTTCATCCGTAAAAAGCCCAAAAAAAATGAAAAATATAGATTAAACTCATTTAGATCTTATTTGTCCGTTTCTAGCGATTTAAAGGCTCAATCTACCTCTGTTATCTTTATAACTCAATTGTTTTTGTTTATCTTGTGCTAATTTCCTCATGTGACAATCATTTAACATGCTCTTAATCATTATATCAATGTATAAAACTCATATTTGTCCGTTCTAAAGATGAACAAGAAATCGTTCATTTAAGGCATCATGTGCCTTTAAATACTTGTACTCTATTTATTTCAGGGGAAGGGGGTAATTATAAAAGAAAGTAAGGCTATGTTCAGGATGATCATGGAAGTTACATTCTCAAATTTACAGACGACAATCTGCAGAAGAAGGCACTGTGCGAAAAGGGTACGATAAACATTATTTTTTTTTATTGCTTACAGTCAATCAAACTTTTCCTAGTTTCATTCATCGTTCCCCAATGATGTAAAATTTGAAACAAATCCGAATCAATGTTTTGTACTTCAATAAGTATATAAATAGAGAATACAAAAAATGTACCATGATAGTGTCTGATATAACAAAATTTATCAAATTTATCAAATTTGAACAATGTTTTCTTTTAATTTATATAGGTTTTATCCTTTCAGTGATGCAAAATAATTGTATCCAGAGTTAAGAATCTGTTGCCATTCAGTCTAATTTTTATGGTTTTAAGGAAGAGAACATTACTAGGGTTTTCACTATAAGGCAATTGTACCAGAAATTCTTAAAGTCTTTTAGAACAAGATTGGCAATAGTTTCTTGTTTTAGTAATATCACGGATTTAATGTAAATCCGTGGTAATATAAAGTTTAGTTATAATATGCATATGAATATGGAATGAGAAGAGAGGTAACTCTGTAAGTTATATTGGAAATTCTTGCAGAATTGCCTCCCTTCAATTAGATTATGCCGGCTCGCCACGGCGAGCCGGTATTACGTTAGGATTTTACTGAGAAACAACCTAAAACTCCGAATCCATCCAAAAATTTAATCGAAGCTTGGCTTCCAGCTTTCTACAAAATTTATCTGTCAGGGCTGGAATCCAAAATTATTTAGCCAATCAAGTTTTATCTTACATTGCGACAAAAAACCTTCAATTTTCACGCCATTTTTAAAAAGCAGCAAGTATTGCTTTGAGCGCAAAGATATAATGATGATTAAGATGTTTGTTTTCATGAATTCTTTTCAATAAATCATATTTACACTGACTTTTGATTTAGCGATTTCACCTGCTTTCTCTGTAGTAAGTTTTCGTTTGGTTAATTAACATAAGTGTACATCTGGTTCTGTGCATTTTTTTCTTTTTCTTTTTTTCCGGTCATTTTATCCTTTGCGGTATTTAGGGTGGGGGGAAAATCCCGGGATCCGGGACGCCCGGGGTCCGGGATAGTATTAGATATATAGGGAAAAGGAATAAACTATATTTGTGTTAATTATTGTCGTTGAATCTTTGTACAGGAGATGATCATTATACCAAGCCCTCTTACAATATAAATCCCTTTTATGCTCACTATGAGCAAGTTGTGCCTGGTGAGCATAAACAGGAATTGGGATCCCTATTCATCTGTTGTCCCTAATGTGTAATTTAGTTTCTCTTTAAATGATATCTATGAAACCAAAGACTGCACATTAACCACACTACAGGAGTCCTCTTTCATAGTTGTTCATATTGTTCTACACATAGGTCAAGGACACGTCTTATATAGAAACACATACGCACACCTTTATACCTTATTAATGCCTAAACCTTAAATATTTGGCCTGTGGTTTTACCTTGTTGACCACTTTAAAATTTTGTTCATGTATCTACATCATATCCATTTGTTTAAAATGTTTCACATACCAAGATGAAGTGGACATAATTTTTATTAAAATGCTTAGGGAAAATATGTTTAAGTCTTATTGATATAAACTTCAATGCCTCCAGCTTTAATATTGAATACTGTAAAACACTAATTATTCGCGAGAAATTTATTTTCGCTAATATTCGCGAGTTTTCTAAGACGCGAATTCATATTTCTCGCGAATATTTCACTTTGTCTATACACTTGTCCGAAAATGAACACTATCCGAAAATGCGTACACATGGATATATATCTGCGGGGAAAGTATCGAAACCAGTTCTAGTTACATCATGTAGCTATTCAAGTGTTGCCGCATATACATATCGTACATATTACTAGTATGAAATATTTATCTGTAACAATTTGGTATAATTGAGGAATTGGAAAAAAAACTTCTTCGCTGAATATTACCTGTGTCAAGGAAGGCAACTGTGACTTGCACTAGAATTAAGTATATGTCCCAGGTATAAACAAATTTATGCGTCTCACAAAATTTTAATGGTATTTCTACAGATTGTTCTAATTGGTACAAATACTTTAGCACCTGCGAGTTGTTTGTAACATTTCTATTAATTGTGTCCTATTGTATTGTACTACAGTTTAAGCCGGAGGGTAAACATAATCGTTTACTACAGGTTAGGCAAATTACAGTACCGTTTAATTGATTTTCGTCTGCTTGCCTTTGAATGGCTAATCAGTGAAACTTTAGCACAGTGAACACATATCAAATAATTATCAAACTTTATTGACATATTTCTAGACAGACGGTTTCACTTAACAAGAAGATTAGCAAGCTATCAGAAAAATCGATACAGATATAAATGCATTCGTCGCACAATAAACGACGCAAAGTTAGTGAACGGACAGGACAAAATATCGGGTTTCAACTTTCCAGTTTCACATTTTTCGGGAAGACGCGAATTCATGTTGACGCGAAATAATTATTTTGGACATTTTGCCTCAAATTCGCGAAATAAGGTTCTCGCGAAAAATAAGTGTTTTACAGTATGTATCAATGCCTTGAGAACTTGTACAAATCAAATGTTAATCATGCCCCATGAATCTAAATTCGCCCACACCCAAGATAGTTCTTCAGTAATATATTCCTGTATAGGACTTGTGAGTGAGTGAGTGAGTGAGTGAGTGCGTGTGCGGGTGCGTGTGTGTGTTTGTGTGTGTTGTGTGAGTGATGTGTGTTATGTGTGAGTGAGTGAGTGAGTTGGTGAGTTGGTGAGTGAGTGAGTGAGTGAGTGTGCGGGTGCGTGTGTGTGTTTGTGTGTGTTGTGTGAGTGATGTGTGTTATGTGTGAGTTGGTGAGTGAGTGAGTTGGTGAGTGAGTGAGTGAGTGAGTTGTGAGTGAGTGAGTGAGTGAGTGAGTGAGTGAGTGAATTCATTCATTCATTCATTCATTCATTCATTCATGTTAATAAATTTTAATATGTTAAAGTCTATCTAAAGTGTATGAGCACGCACGCCAAATGAATGAGTGTTGTAAATCTTACAGATGGAGTTTTATTTTATGGTCGCGAGCCATTGTTGATTAAAATATCGGTAATAAACGCCAATGCAAAACATCCTGTCATTCACTAAATATTTGTTGTTATGTTAAACGAATACGAATACGAATACGAAAAGTTTATTTGTGTTAAACAAACATAATCATGCTCCAATTTAATAGGGTTTATAATTCGTTACTTAAACTTATAGAATATAACCTTTAATTATTTTCTTATATTTTCAAAATATTTATTTTAAAGTTTAGAGCTCGTGTATATATAAAATTCTTCCCTTACAATTCTTTCCCTATCTAGATTTTTCCAGTTATGAAAATTAACGTCGAACTTTTGTTAGCAAAATTTGTCAAATCACGACCGATTTCAAAAAGATTATAGTAACAAAATGCACGTTAGTCTATTGTGTAAAAATGATATCATACATTTTAAAATCCTGCCACATATACGACAGCTCTTCAAAGAAATCACCCTACCTTGATTTGCTGAATACAATTTGGAATTTCAGTTGAAATTCGCTGATATTTTGCCTCTTATATTATTATAATTGTAATATTTTTTTAAAAGCTGCGTTATGCAAATATTTCACATAAATATGTCAAATTGTACGAAAATTAGTACCAATCGTCTAAATATCTCATCACATTACATGTAATTGGCAAGTATATAGTTATATATTTTTTACATTATATATACTTAATGGCGATAATGTTGTTATAACATTTATATGCAAAAAAAAAAAAATAAAATGTTGTTGTTATTTATTTTTTCATAATGTCGAATTTCACCATCTAAATGTGTCAAAACATTTTAAATCTATTTCATATAAGTTTGAAATATACACATGAATAACCTCTTGAGTATGTTGTAGGAAAATAATATTAAACACCATTTGGCAGTTTCAATAAGAAGATAATAAATTTCTGTAACCAAATTTTTTTACATAAAGATTAGCAAAGAATAACTTAAATGAATAAACATATGAAATCATATGATTTTGATTGGATGATTGCCTAAAATTTCTTTTACCGTAACATAATAATTAAGCAATAAAATTGGGCGGGGTTTGGCTATTGCAGTTCTTATTTTCAATTACCAATGAAAAACAATTATCATTCTGCTAGTAAAAAACATACAATTTACGAAGGAAATTAGCTCTAAAAAGACGGGAATTTTAGTTGAATGAATGAATGAATGAATTCACTCACTCACTCACTCACTCACTCACTCACTCACTCACTCACTCACTCACTCACTCACTCACTCACTCACTCACTCACTCACTCACTCACTCACTCACTCACTCACTCACTCACTCACTCACTCACTCACTCACTCACTCACTCACTCACTCACTCACTCACTCACTCACTCACTCACTCACTCACTCACTCACCAACTCACTCACTCACTCACTCACTCACTCACTCACTCACTCACTCACTCACTCACTCACTCACTCACTCACTCACTCACTCACTCACTCGCTCGCTCGCTCACTCACTCACTCACTCACTCACTCACTCACTCACTCACTCACTCACTCACTCACTCACTCACTCACTCACCAACTCACTCACTCACTCACAAGTCCTATACAGGAATATATTACTGAAGAACTATCTTGGGTGTGGGCGAATTTAGATTCATGGGGCATGATTAACATTTGATTTGTACAAGTTCTCAAGGCATTGGTACATATTCAATATTGAAGCTGGAGGCATTGAAGTTTATACCAATAAGACTTAAACATATTTTCCCTAAGCATTTTAATAAAAATTATGTCCACTTCATCTTGGTATGTGAAACATTTTAAACAAATGGATATGATGTAGATACATGAACAAAATTTTAAAGTGGTCAACAAGGTAAAACCACAGGCCAAATATTTAAGGTTTAGGCATTAATAAGGTATAAAGGTGTGCGTATGTGTTTCTATATAAGACGTGTCCTTGACCTATGTGTAGAACAATATGAACAACTATGAAAGAGGACTCCTGTAGTGTGGTTAATGTGCAGTCTTTGGTTTCATAGATATCATTTAAAGAGAAACTAAATTACACATTAGGGACAACAGATGAATAGGGATCCCAATTCCTGTTTATGCTCACCAGAGCACAACTTGCTCATAGTGAGCATAAAAGGGAATTATATTGTAAGAGGGCTTGGTATAATGATCATCTCCTGAACAA